TTCCACCTCTTGTAGCGTATTAGCCTGAATTGTAGCCTCAAAATAATGCAGAGCTGCATAAAAATAGACTCACAATGGTAACAAGTGGAAAATAATATTTACAAATGTGTACAATGATTTGTAGGTAATTTTGACTACTCAAGACACCTGATTTATACATCTTCAAAGGAAGACTGTGTTCATTCTACAATTACATGGGATTGAAGCAAAATGTAGTTTTACTTGTATAATACTTCAATTTTATATAAAAGACAGTTTGTTGTCATCTGTTTTCAAATAAACAAAGTATTGGCTTTCAGAATATTAAACTTGTTACGGCAAATTCAGATGATAAATACAACTTTGAAGCTTGTAACGGCATAATTACAAGCAGAGAACGGACTAATGTAACGTCACAGCAAGCATAACAACAGCTGGTGTTTCTTGTGAGTGGTTCCCCGGTACACAAATGCAAAAATACACAAACACACTCACGAGCTTCCCCCAGACCAGTGATACAAACGAAAATGTGTCTTCGGGTCAATGTGACTGATTTCGATAGAGCAAGTCACATTTGGTTTAGGCACGAAACATACAACCATTAGAAATACATTGCTTTCAAAATCGCTCTGTGGAATCAATAGATTATATTTTGTGACTATAACACGAAATGCCGTGAGTGCTTCGTCCTCTGAACAGCACACGATGGCGACTGTAACGCACATAACATAGGTACGCTCCTCTGAAATGATTGTCCCCTGCAATTATTATTATCCCTCAATCGAGTTCGCTATTCAGCTCGCTAACGTTAGCTTAAACAAACGTAACATGCAACGTTAGCCTAATCTAAAATGCTCTACTCCGGCGTACCTTTCATGTGGCTCGTCAGCGCAGACTCTCGCATCGTTACTTTTGCAAACTTTGCAGGAGGCTACTCGTGGGCTTGACCCTCGTCTTCTGCTAGCCAACGCTCGTTGAAACTGCAACCTCCTGGCACACAGTCAGGCCCGGACTGGCCATCGGGAGGACCGGGAGGTTTCCCGATGGCCTGGCCTGTTAAGTGGCCTGCTGGCCTGAGGAATTTATTTTTGTATGTATGTATTGTGAACGCAACGCTGCGCAAATGTGGGTCTGACTCTGCCTCACAGAGGGTGACTGGCTGTCTACATGATGTGGCCTGCCGACATGGCCACTTTCATACAGATCATACACTAATGCCCTCGATTGGTCTCTGTGTGTCATTCAAGCTCGGGAGGGTGTGTATATCTGGCGCGAGCGAGAGAGAAAGCGCGCGCACCGGTTACGTGTATTGTTGTTGTTAGCATCCGGTGCTAGCTAGCGGCGCTAACAGCTATAATGAGCTGTCAACAAGGTGGAGGAGAGTCCTCTCCTGTCAGACTGAGAGACTGATAACCTCAGCTCAGGTGAGGTAAAGGACTCTCTGAGCGTTTAGATAGTTAACTTAGTCTAAGTTCTCTGTGTCTCAAACGGTTTGGTCACCATTTATGGAAACACATATTTCCATTTGAAGGGGGAGTGATTAGTAAAATATGCATGAATAATAAAAAAAAAATGTTAACTAGGTGAAAAAAGGTAAGATAAACTTTAAAACTTGTTGAGAGCTAAAACTAGTCTTTGCTGCTGCCTCAAAGAGGAGCAGGGGGAGACGGGTGAGGAGGTTCAGGAGCCCAGACACACTCACAACTATAAATGAACCAAAAACAAGTAAATAAACAAGTTTCAATGTTTTTTCATATTGGATATGGTATGTTATTGGTTATGGCCATGTTCCTATGATTATTTAAATGTACACAGTTCTGTTTCATATGGATCTAGTCTCTTTATAAGTGCACCAGATTGATGCATTTAGGTCCAACATTTAAAAAAAAAAATCAGTAACCCATGTCCATATGTTTATTCTGGGGTAGTAGATTTAAAGTTTAGGGCTATCACTATGGGCAGCAATGCTGTAAATATTGACAAAAAAATCCAGGAAAATGGCACAAAAGAAAACTGGTAGTGGCCTGGCTGGGTGTATAATTCCCGGCCTAACTTATTGTCCCAGTCCAGCCCTGCACACAGTCATCTATCACTCTCATCAGAATGCCCAGGTCACACGTAACACAAACACTTGCAGGTCGCGCGCATAGCGCAAGAAGGCCGCAGCGGAGCTGTTTTATGTAGAAGCGAAGCAATTATTTTCTTTTAATCTAAAAAGCGAACTATTCAGTCAGACAGCAATTTATTGTAAAAGTAAAGCATTCACATTTTCAAGCACTTTATCTCAATTTCAAGCACCATTCCCAAAATTCAAGCACTTTCCCAACCTTGAAAACACCACGTCAAATTTCAAGCATTTTCAAGGATTTCAAGCACCCGTACGAACCCTGTTTGCATGATCCCTGCATGGCTTGATGACTATGTAGCTTGATTTTTAACATTGCTGATTCTTTTTGACAGGTGAAAGTTTTCCTGATGATGAGTCATAGGACTTTGAAATCACTTTGTATGTGAAGATGAGTACTCTGAAGTATCTTATTTGGGAAACATGGTCTCTATAGTTTGAAGGACAATGTTTCCAGGAGGGGTATAATGGGTTTATTGTTCAATTTAGTAATTTCATTTTAAGAACCATGACCTACGCACAGTAGAACAGTCCCTAGGACTAAGACACAGTTTCGGAACCGTCTATCACCCCCAATCTCAGGGAAAGGTAGAAAGAATGAACCAGAACATCAAACAAAAACTCAGCAAAGCATGTGAGGAGACAGGCCTTATGTCAATCAGGAGCTCTATTAACCGAGGGACAGGTTTCTCCCCATTTGAGCTGACACATGGCCATCAGTTCCCGGGTCCAGAAGCCCTGAGCGTAGGAAAGGAAGTAGAGGTCATGATTTCAAAGCCATATTTCCAGCAACTTAAGGGGCTGGTATCAGACTTCTCCACACAGGTTGCTGACGCCAAAGGGGGACCCGAGAAGCACGAGGCCAACACAGCGGAGTTCGTCTGGCTGAAGGTCATCAGGCCCAAGAGGCTCAACCCTAGGTTCTCCAGCCCCTACTGAGTGACCCAGAGGATATCTCATGCCGTCCGCCTAGGAGGAAAGGGGGACAACTGGTACCACTGGAGCCAGTGTGCGGCGGGGAAACCACCTGCTAGGACCTTGGACGACATCAGGACGGACCTGGCTCTCGCCGGAGATCGACCCGGAAGCTGCCATCAGTGGACCAGAAGAGAAGAAACCAGAAGACATCACTCCTATCGCCAGCCCAGAAGCCGCCGTCAGCGGGCTGGGGGAACATTTTGACATTTTTATAGATCAAAATTGAACTAAAGAAATAAATGGTAGATTAATACATATTGAAAATAGGTGTCAGCTGCTACACTAATTATAATAGTTAGATTTCTTAATTAAGATAATATATTACTTTATTGATCCCAATTTGGGAAATGTTTGTGTTGCAGTAGCATAAAAAGAAAATATAAGTTATTATATATACAAAAGTATGTGAGGGATGGAATATTAAATATTAAATTGAATATAAATGTAAAATGTACATGTGATTTTACGTCCAAGAGAAGCTATGGAGCAGAGAGTTCTCTGCCAGCCAGAGGTGATTTGTTATTAGTTCAATATGTCAAACTGATTTCCCTGACTACAATCTTTAGTTACATGGTGAAACGTTATGCTGCTTGTACTAATTAGACTTATCATATAAGCGACAAAGGTTTTTAAGGATTTATTCATTATCTTTACTTATGTTGCGGTCTTTTCAGCACACTCAAAAAAATGATTCAAGCCCTTCTTAGACTTGACACATTAAAAATTGTTTCACTTTACTTAAATATTTTTATTTAAGAAATAAACCTAAGTATAGTTCATTAGTGTAACACAAATTACATTAATCAATTCACTTATTAAATGTATTTAAGACAGAGCAACTCAAAATGAATTGTTTTCATTGGGGACCGCCCCTTTGCACACCCCCTTTGCGTATGCGCAACATCCGTTCTGTCATTTGCCGCCTTTTGTCTAACACTGACTGTGGAAACTGACTGTGGAAAGTCTATTTGGTAAGTATTTGTTTTTTCTAGTAGTTTAGAATGTTCCCTGTTTCCAAGTAATGCCTTTTCATAATATCGACAAGAATATTTGAAACCACCGTGTTATATTTTGCTCCGTTTTTAGTTGGGTCTAAACAGCAAGCTAGCTAGCTTGCTAGATATGGTTAGCATTGAATACTGGATACTAGAGATCATTAGATTATATTACATTAGATTTAACGTTATTGTCATTGAACACAGTACACCGAAATTCAGTTTAAGTTCAACCAAAAAATGCAAAGAGTAATTAAAGTGCATGAGGTAAAGCGGCAAGCTAGCTAGCCAGATAACTGGTTTGTTAGCTAGCTTGCTAAATACGGTTAGCATTGGATAATGGAGATCATTAGATTATATTACATTCGATTTAATGTTATTGTCATTGAACACAGTACACCGAAATTCAGTTTAAATTCAACCAAAAAATGCAAAGAGTAATTCAAGTGCATGAGGTAAAGCGGCAAGCTAGCTAGCCAAATAACTGGTTTGTTAGCTAGCTTGCTAGATACGGTTAGCATTGGATACTGGATAATGGAGATCATTAGATTATATTACATTCGATTTAACGTTATTGTCATTGAACACAGTACACCGAAATTCAGTTTAAATTCAACCAAAAAATGCAAAGAGTAATTCAAGTGAATGAAGTAACAGTATAGGAGGCAGAGCCTGCATGCAAGGGCTGCCATTTTCTATCATAAAGCTCAGCAGGTCTGTCCATCTCTCTCCTGGCTTTAGTGCAGGCAGGCAGAGGAGGACAGGCGGAGCCACTCGTTTCTGTAGGAGTTCAGTTGAGTTTAGTTTTTTACTGCCAAATATTTAATATAAATAATGAGATAATATATATGTGAATCTTGTATGGGTTACTTCACTCACAAGCAGGCACCCAGAGTTGTGCAGAAACGTTTTTTTGGGTTGTGCAATCTTAGGCAATTATGTGTTTTCTGTGAAAATTCAAATATATAAGCATTTTAATCACACCTCTAAAATATATTTGTTGTCTTTTGCAGTTTGATCAGCATTAACAAGCACCTTGGGGAAACCTCTTATTTATGGTAAGTACACGGCTACTTTCACAATACTTGCACAAGCTGATCTGTGACATTGTCAGTTGTTCAGTGTCAATTGCTAATTCTATTTTTTCTCTTTTTCAGGTTATGCATGTGGCAGTGCAAACACTGCAGTTTGGAACTAGCTAGCAGGTATTTGTTGTTAAAACATTTCCAGCAGACACATGCACATTTAAGGGGCAGTTAAACTGTACAAATATTTTTATGTTCATCTTTGATATAATCCTAATGTGTTTCTTTCTTGTTATTCTTTCACCTTGTTTCTGCTCTAGATTAAAAGGTGTTCCATAACGGCAGGTCGGGCGCTTCTGCGCATCATCTTTGCCGACCAGTCTGACTCTAGACAACTGACCCTGGATTCGGGAATCCCAGCAACAGTTGAAGAACTGCACACATTTGTCAAGACATCTCTTCAATTGAAAGAGGACTTCCGTCAGCAATACATGGATGTTGACTTTAACGAGTTCATGAATCTTACATCAGTGTCTGAAATTCAGGATAAAAGCACACTGAAAGTAATTTACTCTCCTATATTGTCAAATATTGAGCCCTCCATCACTTAGTACACAGTTGACTCATTTGATAAGACCTCAATTACTGGAAGCTCAGAGCATCATCAATAGCCTCATGCTGCAGTGACGATATGGTGTATACGTCAACCCCGCATCCATCCCCTGAAGCTCAGGCCTCACAATTGTTATCCTGGCCCACAGTTTTTGTGGTTCCTAAGCTCACCTACGAGGCTGAATTTGAGCTTCATCTACAGAATGCAGAGTTTGAGACAACTGGTACATACTTCCAGCCTGGCCTAAAGCTGAAAGGAGTCATTCTTGATGGCCTAGCCGAAGAAATGATCAAATTCACAAAATATCCAAAAGACTATCAGTGTGAAGAGGTAGCTGCAGCGTTGACGAGGGCCCACCCTTGTTTGGGGCAGCTAGGATCCAAGACAGGATTTGGGGGGTGGAAACAGTCTCTTAAGTACAAAATGCAAAACTATCGTACAAAGCTTGGCCGTCTTGGACATCCTGAAATCCTTGTGAACTCCTTAAAGCACAAGAAAACAGGCCAAGGCAAAGCTGCAGCAAACATAAAAAAAACAAGAAAAGCTGAAATAAACTACATTCCTCTGCACCCAAAAGGCGAAACCACAGAAAGCTTGGAGAACGAGAGAATTGCCTTATTGTCAGAACTGAAAAAGCGTGACAATGAAGTGGTGATAAAAGCAAAAATGGAAAAAACCTTCTCCCACAGACGCCTTGAGATTGTGGAGCAAAGGCCTTTGATAGGGGACTTCAAATGCAGATGGCCTGCTCTGTTTCAGCAGAGTGAAGTAAGTAAATATTTGTATTTGTTGACAGTCTTTTATTATTGTCCTTTGTGATTCATGTCTACATCCTTGCATGGTTGTGATTCTAATAAACAAGTAACAATTGGTTGTATTGTGCTTGTTAATAATATTTTTAAGGTGAATGCGGAGTTTTTTGAGGATCACAACATCACCACTTCAATCAAAGTTCATGTGGCAGCTGGACCACTTCTCAGACCAGCTCTTGAAGATCTTCAAGACCAAAGGAGGACTAAAGGGCCACAAAATCAAGGAAGCCCTTGCAATATCAGATTTGGTTAGTATAAATGCAGAGAACCTCGTTTTTCACTGTATTGTTTTTGTCCATGCTGATATGAACACATTTAAGAAATTGTCTGCTTTTATAGTGTTTTTAAGGCAATAGCTTATTGTGGAAATGTAGGGGTAAGGAGTCCTGCTTAGGGACACACACGACAGATACAGCCCTCTACTTTGTAGACCTGCTCTGTTGCACATGCATTGTGCTTAATTGTCTTTGATTTATCGCCCCTGCTTTAGTTTGAAAACATCCACATCAAGAGGGGGTGCATCCTGCGAAGCATCGCGATCTACCTCAACGAGGATCCAGACTCTTTTTTTAAGGACTATCAGGTATGTTTATCACAATATGTTTTCAATGTAGTGGTTAACAGTGTTACCCACAATTATAACCACCATTACTTACATTTATAATAAGAAAATTCTATGGCACACAACCCTATCCCTGCTTACATCTAAATATCTTATCACATATCATAAATACATGCAGAAATAAATAAATGTATACATTAATATAGGAATGAATATATGTAAGAATGAATAAATACAGAAATAAAAAAATAATAATAAATAGATACAGAAGTAATTTCATCGGGCAAGTGTTAAAATAAATATAGAAAAAAGTGAATTAATACATTTATACAGATATAAATACATCTATAAATTAACATAGGAATACAATTGATAAATACAAATGTGAATTAAAACATGAATATATCTGGAAATAAATACAAATAATAAATGAATGCTGAAATAAATATTTACATTTATATATAAATACATCTATAAATGAATAAATAAATATGGACATGAATACATATGTAAGAACTTATAAATAATTGAATAAATACATAAATAAAATAATAAATAAATGCTGAAATACAGAAATATATTAATCAATAGATTCATGTTTAAAAAGGTATGTGAATGCAGCAATTACTAAATTGTTAAAAGAATAATTACATAATCACATAAATCAAGGAAATAAATTATTAAATAATAAATAATCAAATACATATCAAAATAAGTAGGTAAATGCATAATTAACTACAGGAATAACAACAAATTACATGATTAAGTAGGGATGTAAACAAATAACTTAATACCTGAATTAATAAATAAGATAAAGTTGATAATCAAACAGAACATACAGGAATATATCTTTATAACTTATTTATGTAAACATTTTCTTACAAGCTTAATTTAGTTCTGTGTTGGAGGTCCTAACCTTCTCTGGTATCACTCAGGACATTTTTTTCCAAATTGGTAATTTTTCACATCAGATTTGGCTATAATGATTTTGTGTTTTTTCTAGATACTTTTTGGAATTTCAATTTTTCTAATCGGTCTCGAATACACTGTGTACAAATTACCCTAATTGTCCATTTAAAAAATGTCCCCGGGAAAAATATTTAAATATAATATTGTTATCATATCATTTTATCATTCAAGTTTTTGAAAGTGGACATTTTTATCCTGAGTGGCCAGATTGGGTAGTACATTTGAGTGATACCAGAGGGTTAGTCTAAAACTGTTTTGATCAATGAGGAGAGCCACATAAGTAAATCTGCTTCTATAAAATGTAGTAATTCAGGTTTTAGTTAACACATGTGTTGTATGCTTGTGTCTTTGTTCAGGCCTCTGCCTCTGAAGATGCCAAGAGGGACATGGCAAACACAGTCATGGGCATATACACACTTCAAAGAGATGTGGATGGGCAGCCAGAGGACGTGGGAATTGTCATCGAAGGCAATATAGTCGTGGACAACTTGGGCAGCGTGATTGTGGGGTTTGTCATGCTATTGGGACTTATTTATGCCCTGGATTTGAGCTTTCCGGACAACCTCAAACACACCTTCGAGTTCATGCAGAAGGTAGTGATGAATCTGGATGGGCACAAGCTGAATGGTAAAATCGAAAGTCTGAAGATCAAGTTGTTCGATTGAAATGTGAAAAATAAGTGACTCATGAGTTCATTGTTGTCATTTTATTCACGAGTTTCCTAATCAGAGCAGATTGAGCCGTTATATCAATCATTTGTGCTTTTCTGTATTTGTTTGTTTCAACACACTGTAACACTATTTCCATATGTTGGTGTTTGCAGTGCACTCTTCATGTTATGTGTTATTGTCCTGTTAGAAGAGCAGTGCATACCCCTGTTATATTGTATTCATTGTATTTGGCAAAGGGAGATTTGTAAGTTAATTATAGGAGTTCCATTTCTCAGCCATTTTAAAAATGGTATTATCTTTCAGAAATGTTTTTCATCTTTCAGTGTGAATTCATTCATTTTTAAAACACTTGAATGGAATGGAGGATTGTTTTGAATCATGTGAATTTAAAAATAAAAAAAACTAAACCATGTTTTCTATCATGTGTAACACATTTTTATTAAATTATATTTAACCTCATTATTTCATTTTCAATTAATTAAATAGGATTTAGGTGGACTAGCATTATCTAAATTCATAAAGGTAATGTTATCATTTTACTTAAACTCTATTTGAAAAATTTGAGTTGGACTAACTCATTTACATTATACTGCATGGATGCCATTAGTTTGAGTTTGTGCCACATATATTTATTGGATGGAAAACCTGCCAACAATAAAATTGAGTTAATCCAATGAGTTATTTCTTTGAGTGCAGCGCCATCTCTAAAACGGCGATACAGTCACTACCCATCATTTAAATGTCACCGTGACATGGACAAAAATGTAACGTCAGCTTACCTAATAGCATGAATCCAGACTCTGCTTTGGAAAACATCGGCCGGGAAACGATAGAACGAGCACGTTTCATGCGAAGACCTGTGGCTGCAACAAACCATTGTGTAGCTAACTAGTAGCGCTAGCTTTAGCTAACGTTAGCTAACGAAACGAACTGCCGAGTAAAATTGGAAAACACTGGTAATTAATTATTCTATAATTTGTAAAACTACGGTGTTAAAACAAAAATACAGATTCTAATGGTCAGATATAGATATACAGATACTAGAGATAGGCAGGTACTTGCTTTCAAGCAGAACACGGGGAAAACAAACTTAGCTGGAGTGTTTTACGTGTTTGGCGTAATGACGTACAACGGCCTCGACAATTTCTGTAGTCCTATTCAGCCACTCGGTAACAACCATCGTTTTTCAGACACGTAAACTCTTCAAAAATCACCAGTGGGGTCACTGCTGATGTATTTAATGTCGTAGAACAAAACGTGATTTATCTCTTAAATTTGTGTCAACCACAGACCTTATTTCGAGCTATTTTCCAAAGCCATATGGAGAAAATGCATTGCTTTTGGACAAAGGAACCGGAAGTGCTAAAAATGCTAACTTACTTCTGGGTTTTAGGATGCGTCACTGCGGTTCTCTATGCGGTGTTAAGGAGTCGTGGTGGAGTCACGCATTCTGGTGAGATCAGGTTGCCTCAAGCACATCGTCAAGTTTCTTTGAAAAGTCGCTTTGCATAGCATGTATGGCGCCGAGGACTTCCACATTCTCGGCCATTGCCTCTGTGTTTTGGCTAGCGGCAGCTGAGCTAGCTTTAGCTTGCGACATCGACGTTTTCGATGCTGCAGGGGTCTGTGGACCTGCTTTCTGAGGTCTTCCTTGCATAATGTTGACAGGTAATCTATTGTTTAAGATAATGTGTATTTAAAGGAAGTTGTGGTCTTCTGAATAATTAATTCAATATATTAGCTTCGGAGCCTCATGGAGATGCGTCTCACCAGCACTGCGCCATAACCGGAAGTCTGAACAACACATTTATATAGGCCAATAATGTAATTCATATATTTC